CCGGATAATATTAAAATGGTCAATAAGGAACTCAATTATAACAAGTTCCAAGTCAATAAATTAATTAGCACAAATTGACAAACAAAAATCCAATGTACAACCTTGCAAACGAAAGAAGGTAAGTATGACGGAAGAGAGGAAATGTTTACATTTTAGTTGCATCCAAACAACTTAAAATATAATTTTACTCTCAAATGCCAACTTCCGACCCCTTAGAGATGATATATACAGTTTTTGGAAGTTCCAGAAAAAGGGAAGCCATTTCAGAAAAGACCTTAGATAAGACAGTGAAAACAACATACAAAAGATGAATATGATCAGCCTGGAATCAATGCTTGAACACGAGACAGAAAGTAGGTAAGGCATGATTCAACCCTAAAGATGTGAGCGATTTGGGGGAGGATGAAAGTGTGATGAAAACATTTTGTGTGGAACTTTGTTAGCATTTGTTAGCATTAGCTGAAGAAGAAGGTAAGAAAAAAAAATAAAAGTCACTTACTCAATTGCAGTTACCAGAATTAGTTGGATTTCAAAAGATGAGACCCAAAATTGGAGAAAGAATCGATTGACTGCGCAAAAGAGCCTATTTTCAAGCAAAGAGAGTCAACAAGAATAAAGTGAAGGTTGAGGATGGAATTTCAGTGCTGGAGGCCATCAAATCCCTGATGCTAAGTAGAATTCTAATTGGGTTTAATGTTATCATTAATAAGGTGCGCTATGCAGCTGTGGTGCTGTGCCTTATTTAGTAATGGATGTCGGAGGAGTTCCGATGCAGTCGCTCTCTTAGCTGGGTCCTTCACCACACATCTACTAAGCATATGTGCCAGTTCGGGAGATACCTAAATGAACATAAAGTTATAGGCTAAAGCTATTTTGCAATATCAAAAAGAATCCGTTGACACTCACGTTTGCAGTAGGATTAAAAGTAGGCGGCGGCTCATCTCGAATCATCTTCATAGCCTAAAGATAATTGCAGTTGCGTATATCACAGAATTATTCTAGTAATTTGTAAGAAGCTAAACCAAAATTGTCCTAAAATTTTTAGAT